GCTGTTGTTTTTATTTGCTTTGAGGGTGTGGGGCTTGAATTTGCGCTTTACAGGCGTCTTGGAAGAAAGAAATGAAAGGCGCCGGCGGGCAAAGGGTTCCGACAGTTCTAAGTATGCTTGGTTTTTTCTACCTTTATTCTTTTGTTTTGTTTTATGTAGTTAAGCGGCCAACCCCCTTTCCTTATGAATGCTTTTTTAGGGTTTGACCTTGTTCTTCCGCGATGCCGGGTCATGTGTATCGTTGGGGTGTTGGATGCCGTTGTGGTGAGGTTTGTGACACCTAGCCGTATGCATCGTTTCTTTCGGTTTTCTGTACCCTGCTTTTGGGCCCCCATGCGGTTGGGATGGCAGTGAATACCGGTTGTGTTTTGTGTTATTGGTGTTCAGTTTCCGAGGGGAACTAGGCGATGACTTACCGAAATATAAAGGGTGCCCCGCATTCTTTCTCTTATTTAAACTCTCTGGCGTCTGATGCTTTTTTTTTCTTTTGAGGTGTAGTTTTTCTGCTAAGTTCTATTTTAAGCTTCAAGAAAAAAAATGTTATCACGCACATTTTTTCGGGTGCAACGGAAAATACCGTTTTATCCTATAAATCCGAAGAATCCACTTGTTTTCTTCGATATCTCCGTTGGCTCCCAACCAGCCGGTCGCATTGAAATGGAGCTTTTTAAGGATATTGTACCCAAAACAGCAGAAAACTTTCGAGCCCTTTGTACCGGCGAAAAAGGAGTGGGTCGGTCGGGAAAAACGCTGTGTTACAAAGGCAGCAAGTTTCACCGAGTCATTCCACAATTCATGTGTCAGGGCGGGGATTTCACCAATGGAAATGGCACTGGTGGCGAGTCCATCTATGGGTTGAAGTTCCCCGATGAATCATTTGCGGGTAGAGCTGGAAAGCACTTCGGCCCGGGAACGCTCTCTATGGCCAACGCCGGACCCAATACCAATGGGTCTCAGTTTTTTATCTGCACCGCGCCTACTGAATGGCTGGATGGAAAGCATGTGGTATTCGGTCAAGTCACAAAAGGATACGAGGTAATTGAAAAGGTGGAAACCAATGGCAGTCGGTCAGGGGCTACCCGTCAACCAATTGTTATTACCGACTGTGGTGAAATGAAAAATAATTAATCATCTTTCCAGAAGCGGAGAAAGGGTTTTTTTTAGTTCTCTAGCCACAGGAAACGCCTCGTTGCTCAACTGCTTTTTCATTTTTGGTGTATTTCGGATTTTTCGGGGTGTGTGTGGGTGTGCCTAACTTGCTTGTTTTCTAATCTTTTGGATAAAACTTTTTATAGGCAGCTCGTTAAGCATGGACGCGAATGCTGCACACAGAGCCCAGCTTGAAGGTGCTGCTGAAGATGTGGCTGAGACGAAACAGTATCTTATAGATCTTGACCGACGGCAAAACCAGTTTAGGGAGGCCAGGCGCGCTCTTCAGAAAAATGGGGCGGGTGAAGAAGTGTGGTTGTTATGCAGCGGCAAGGTTTTCGTGAAGTCTGAATTGCGACATGGAGGAGTGCTTAACTACTTATCGTGGAAGTTGAATGGTGGAGAAAAAGAAATTGAGAGAAGTCGCGAGGAGCTGAAGTCAAAGGTGGCTTACCTGGCAGAATTGGAAGGTCCAGATCAACCTCTTTCTCATCTGTATAAAGGGTTTGAGTTGCAGTCCATTAAGCAATACCAAGACTGAAGGGGGAGAAAGATAAAGGGATTGCTGCCGCGTTAAAAATGGGGATCTCAATTTCTCTCTTGCTTGTCGTATTCTTGTAATTGCTTTACTTGTTATTATTGTTTTTTCTTTTTTTCTTTTTTGTAGGGGGGCTTCATAAAAGGCGGCATGGGGGAGCCCTTGGTTGTATCCTTTACCTTTCCATCGCTCAAAACACTGAGCTGCTGTTTAAAGTACCTCTCTCTACAGGGTGGTGCCATAAGACTTGTTCATTCAAGGCGAGTGGGATCCTCTGAGGTGCATTTGAGTGGATCCGGCGTCCCAGAATGCAGTTATTCTGAAGTTGTTGTCGAAGTTCGCGAGAATGGTGGGGTGGTCAAGACAGCGTCTGCAGATGCTGCAAACGATGAAGATGATATTTCGTGGGTGGTTGATGGCCCACTGCTTGTTCGAGTCCTACGTATTTTTGAGGGATATGGATCGTTAACCGTTGGTTTGGGATGTGACCTCACTAGTGTCGTTCTGTATTCACAGGGATCCGAGCGATGGGCCAAAATTGGCGCTCTTCATGATCTTGGACCGCTTCTGAGAGTCGAGCACGAAGGAACAGTTCTTCACCGTGTCTCTGACGTTGAGGCATTCTGTCACATTGTGCAGTTTGTTGCAACATCACCAGACGCCACATGTGCTGTCATCCTGCGCTTTGATAACTTGCAGTCATTTGTAGAACTTAGAACTTCGGCCGCCACGGCCTCTGCTCTCGTTAATGGTGAATCCCTACAACGTCACTTTGAGGGTTGTGCAAGAACTGCAGAGCTTTCTGCCTTTGCCGAGTTGGCCTTGCGGTTCATTGCAAGTGCCACGCTTTTCGTTGGATTTGGCATGGAAAATTTGGCCATGTTTAAACTGGAGTGGCATTCAGTTCCTTCTGAAGTGTCAACCGCCTTCTTGTATTTTTGTACCAGTTAAGAAAAAAAGTTATTATTGGTTTGCGGCGTATTCTTAAAGTATGCTACCAATGATAAAGAGAAAGGTCTATGCTCCGTTTTTCTTGTTATAGTCTTTTTATCTTGACATTATGCTACCCATAGAAAAGGCAATAGCACCTTCGCACAGCTTGTTGATTGAGCATTTAGAAATCCTTCCACCATCAAAATTGCGCGGAATTTTAGAATGTTACGGCATTGTTGATAATATTGCTTCGTATCGTCTTAATGGTGGCTTGGGCTACCTGAGTATTGCTCAGCATCGCGAAACTGCGATTAGAGAGCTATGTTATGCATCTCTGAGGTCCCTTTCATCGTTACCTGATTCTCCTATCCAGAGGATTGCTTGGGTTCACGAGGAAGATGCAATGTCATTCTCCTGCAAATCATACATAAGGCCACTTTGTGCAGCAAAGCAGGACAACGAGCGTAACACAGAGTGGATTTATCTTGTGCTGTACCTCTCAGATATCCCTGATCTCGTTCGTACAGGCTTTGTGGCATCCATCAAGGAAAAAAAGGATGCTATTGACATATTCGTCGACAGGGTCAGCGGTGGGCGGTGCTTTCTGAGATATCCCACAGTGGAAGTCGCGGAAGAAGCACGTTCCAACTTTATTTGCCTCCATCCGGAGCTTAGCAAAAGAATTCATTATTCCGATGAATCTAGTGTTTTACTGGCCAGGAGAAATGCATCACGACAGACAAATTAATACGCGTTCTGCATCATGCAATCAACAAAATTACTTTTCACCTGTTGTGTACTGACCAATAGAATGCTCATAAATCAGATTTAAAAAATGCGGTGTTCACTTCCATTGTCATTGTTATCATTATTATTATGTTTTTCTTGCCAACGTAAACATCTTACCGCTGCGCATGTAGCTTCACTCAATGGTGGTACAACTTTCATCGTCTTCCCTTCAACCAGTCTGAAGGTATCGAGAAAAGGTATCCAAGCGCCTTAATCGAAGTTGATTTGCCGCCGAATCTGTGGAGGGAGAACGATTACGCTTCCAGGATACCCCGCCACTCTATCGCGCTGGTCACGGAGATTGGGTGTAAGCCGAAACAGATGGGTGAAATAAAGCAAAGCTCGACAACCGGGGCGGTTCTTCTTTATTAGCTGCAGAGTCTCCATCATGCTGGCCAGAGAGCGGTAGATCAGGATCCGGGGGGCCAAACAGATCGCAAAAGAACCGAGCCAATTGCGTGCTGAAGAATAAGTCAGGTTTTTCCACTCTTTCCAAGCCGAATCAGATACGACGACTCTAGAGGACAGGACAAGTAAGAAGGTGATCCGGAGTTTCTTCACATACGCCGTGTCGGGGCCAGGGGGCGATGACCTTCTTCTTGCTTTCCTCGTGGAACTTGTCAATATAGATATCAAGATTTTTTACGGACGCTGAACCTCCCGACGGGCTATTTTTATCTTTCGTAGAGCATCGTCTGTCTCCGTGTCGCCTGGATGTCTTTGCCTGGACATTTACACTGGACATTAGTGAAAACCTCAGTTCTAGACTTGTGTCTCATGCCGTCCACTTCACAAACAAAAGGGTGAGTGAGCTTGTTTGGGGCCACTGGAGGTGGTTTACTACTTTCATGGGCTTTGCGAATGGTTTTACTGGGTCAATCACGCCTTGCGTGGGTTTTGCCACATTGCGGGTATGCGCTGCACTGTATGTATAGTTCGAACTTTCGCCTCTTTATTGTGACTTTGTCACTTGTGAGTGGCTATTCCACTTCCGAATGATACTCGAGCATTTGTCGCCTAAGCATCCATGCTATTGTGGTGTTTTCCAGACACCGGGCAGACCGGCCTAGCATCTTTAGGTTTTAGTGTGGCCTTCTCACCGTTCCCCGGGTTCAAAGTAGGCTGTCTGAATCGTCTGCTAGGTAGGCAGTCTGGCTGCGGAAAGATAGTTCGTTCTCGGCGATGTGCTTTTGTGTGTTTTACCGCCAATCTAACCTGACATATTGTGCTACAGCAGGGACAACACTATGCATTGTGGACTGAGTCCCGTTTACGGGTTGGAAGAGGGATGTGTTTCTTGCTTCCTCGGAGGGGGATTTATGTTCTCTGCAGCAGTGACATGATGGGTCTGTGCCTTTTGTGACAACTCTATGACAACATCCGACGTGTTGAGAGGAGCCTGAGCGGAATTGAGCAGGGATGATTCCGTCGACCCTAGGCATCGTAACTTTCAGCAGTGTTTGGGATATGCCAAGAAGCCGTTTTCTCTGCGTGCGCTCTGTTGGGGGGGTTTCCTCGCTCTGCCCTTGGGTGCGGAAGCGGCTAACCGTTGTAAGGATATTCGTAATCCACACTGGGCGCTTTCTGGATAGTCAAGAGCTTCCTTGGCATATTTGTTAGCAAGTTCATTTTGATGGCCGCCTGCGTTGCCAAATATGGAATGGAAGGAAAGGTGTACCCAACGCGACTGGAGGAGGATGATCTGCCTCCGTGGTTGACGGAGGACGCCGTCGTTCACTCGTGTTGGTCCCGTTTCAAGGGAAATCAGCAGAAAAAGGGAGTTAGTGAAGATTACCAGAACTCGACGTTTTTGCTTTTTTTGTGGGATGGACTCCAGCAGCGTTGAGAGGCCTACTTCCATCGCCAGGCATTCGGCGCGGTAGCTGCACGCAAGTGTTCCTCCGCCGCATTATACTGTTAGGACAAGTTTGTCGCCCTCATCGAGCAGGGCGGAGCATCCAGACCATGTGCCGCATGCCACCGAACCATCCGTTTACAGGGTGTATGGCACGTGGGGGCGTGATGCTACCCAGGCAAGTGAGGCCCAATTTTTCTCCTCTGGGTTCGAATCCGCGTGAAGCCCACCGGATGGGGGCGGTGCCAAAGCAGACCCTCTGGAAGTGACACAACGAGGAGGCATCGTGGGGAGTATCGAAGCAGCCGCAGATACAGGTGCACTTGCCCTCTACAAGTAGGAGTGCTGCACGAATGGGATGCAACTTGGGGGAAGGGTGCATGGGCATGTAGCGCTGTGTCTTCTTTCGCAGAATTTGAGGTGCTACTACGGACTCCCCAATGTAAATATATCTGGAAGGGGATGGGGTGTGCGTGCTTCCTCAATGAAATTCGCTCGAGAGGCCCCTATGGGGATATTTGCAATCACATGAGCCGCATGTCTGTTGAACTCCTCAAGGTTGTCGATTGTTGTGGGGGTGGCTGTATTCCGCCTTGCTACTGCACCGTATAAACGTTTCGAATGTATGAGAGACTTGTACAGTGGGCGTAGCACCTCGTACTTGGGACCCCAAGCCGCTGCAGACACTGCTTTTATCTTGATGAAGCGGGACTTGGCGGTGTGGAGTTTGAGATTCACGCGGTTGCTGACTCTGCGAAGAGGGTGAGGCGTCTACCCTGAGTAGACAAGTCGTGTGGTCTTCCTCAAGCTTCACACCGTTTGCATGGAGCGTGAGACTGCCCGTAAGAGTGGCGTCAAAAAAGACATACTTCGTCTTGGACGCGCTGATCTCCATAGGGTTCTGTTTCGTCCATTTTGATATGCGGTGAACTACCAGCTTCAGGGTGAGCTCTATAGTGTTCTTATCCCTAGCCTTTGTTACGACTTTTGAATCGTCCGCGAAGAGGTCATGCTCCAGGATGGGAATTTTGAGCAACTCCTCACTCAGGGCATTCATCGCGATGATAAACAGCAGCGGGCCAAGAACAGAACCCTGTGGTACTCCACATGTTGACTTACCGATTTCGAAAGCGTGTTCTGCACTCTCACTTCGGTTCTCATGTTTGACAGAAAATCAGCCACCCAGAGAGTGAGATAGGCGTCAACCCCATGTCTTCTCATGGCGGCGATGATGCGTTCATGATCCACAGAGCCAAAAAGCTCCGGTGTGGTCAACTATGGCAGTCCCAAGCTTCTCCCTGTTCTGGCGATGAATCGTGGTGGAGAGGACCTGGATCAGCCGATCAAGTGTGGGTCGTGAGGTGCGACAGTCAGCTTGATGCGGAAGGATCTTTCACTCCACTCTACTACGGGCACGTCATGTTATAAATATGCTCCATTGCACTGCACATGCAGGTTGTAGGGGTAAAGGAACAGAAAGACTGTGGGTCGGTCGCTGGCTTTCCTTACTTGAGGGATGGGATAATGGCTCCTTTCCTCCAGGACGTGGGAACCATTCCTTTGCCCAGACTGGTGGTGAGCATGGCTGGTAGTGCTTGTGGCCCTGCTATGGGAAGCTGGCGCAGTGCCTTTCGCAGTCCAAGGCGTCAGGGCGTGGAGTGGATCCCAGGTGTATTTTGCGTAGAGCAACTCGTGATTCTTCCATGTAAACTGGTATGAGTGGCTTGTGTGGTCACGACGGCATGCGTAACTTTGAAGCCAGGAGGTGTTTGGCCGACTTAGCTCTGTACGTCTTGGCGAGGAGGTCTGTGTGCACTTTTTTGGATCCTTCCATTTTGTTATTTGTTCGTCTAGGGCTGTCGGTTCAGGCGTCCAAAAAGGGGGAGCGTGTGGCCTCTGCGTATGGGGCACTGGGTTTCACTGCTTGGCGGATGATCGACCCGGATTTATCAATATAACGATGTATTGTGATTTCTCTGTGATCGCCAGGTGAAATATGCGGGGCTTTATTGATCGGACGGAAGTGGCCAAAGCGCTGACGCTTTCTATGTGGCCTTCTTCTGCGTTGTGTAACCTTTATGATTCGAGCGAGTTTGATGCACATATGGGATTCTTTCAGAGTGGCCTTTTTCTCCCTCGTGTGTTTCTTTACAGATTTTCTATACGTGGACCAGTCGGCCTTCTTCCAGCCGCACAGCGTCCGAGAGTCCTGAAGGACAAGAGGACGGTTAGTCAACCCTCATACCTGGACGTCGTGAGTGATCGAAGCGTTGTCGCTGTCGGCTGTGAAATGGGCAGACTATTCTGCCACGTGTGCATAATGTGACAACGTTGCATCCGGAGCAGACTGCTGCGGCAGCTTCACGGACGGTTTCCTTCAAGTAGGAGCCCTGACGTTGAGGCATGTGATGTCATGTGCCAACCACCAATCCACCAGGAGCTCACCTTCTGTTGTGGCGGGCCGTGAGTTGTCCAACACAACATCATGACAATTTAAATCACGAGGAAAGAGGGTGGGGATATCGTCACCTTGGTCCTCACTTCAAAGCGAGAGTCCGCTCGGAGCGGCCTTTCTGGTCTGTGCAAAATACCCGGGTATGATTCCCAGCCGTGATTCCTGAGGAAGAATCAGTGTGAATGTGGCCATTTCCAGACCCTTCTCCGCTCGTCGGGCTCTGACAAGCACGTCGAGCCCCTCCTTTACGAGGATGGAGGCTACGCCACCATCAGGAGATCGACATTACCGAAGTGTTTAAAAGAATTCAAGCCAAAGCACTCGCACTTGTTAGGAGCGAAATGTGTCTCAGCCATAGCACACAACGTAACACGTGCATCCTTTAGTCACTTTTTCACGCAATCCTCTTCGGCGTCAACCCGCCAGCATTCCACTGGATGACCTGCAGAACGGGACCCGGATTGAATCCTGGATAGCCACACGACTGGAAAAGCTTCCAACCGTTAATCCGTGCTCCGAGGAATATCGCTACACGTTGACACGTACAGCTGCAGGACGGGAACATAACATCACTCGCCCAAGGCCTCCTGAATACAGCAACACCCTCGGCCCGTCTGCCGTCACCAAATGCCTGCTACAGGCCAAAAGAACTCTTTCCTGGAACTTGGCTTCCCCCTTGCACAGCAGTGTACCCTGGCACGACATTGATGTAGCCCCCTTTGCCACGGGTGAAGCATTCTCAACAGAACGCAATTCACCCCCATCTATGGTATTTATAATGTCTCGCAGTATCTTGTGTACAGCGGCTGAATGACGGTGATGGCTGTGCGTGATGGCGACTGTTTGCGCTGGTGCCTGTGCTGCACGGGTGTGTTGCGGGCCATTTGCACTGGCGGCGCCTTCTCTCCTCGATAGGGCTGGCGGATGGGGCGGTGTGCTTGTGTGTGCGCTGCCGCCGGCGTGGGACGCCTGTTTGTTTCATTCCCCCCAGCCCCCTCTCCCGCGAGTGTTGTGGCCTCTCTTTCATCGTGCTTCAGTGCTCCGTGCGTGGTGCGGAGATGCTATCTTGTCTCTTTCCTTTCCACCCTTTAGTTGACCGCGGTGACGCAAGGATTTGCCATACAGACACACACACACACACATACATGTACACTTACATGCACCGCAGTGCGCGGCAGACAGCGTGGGGGGATCGCGGTTCCCTTTTGTGCGTCGCCCTGCTGCTCGTGGTGCTGACGCAGGTCAGCGTCGCCGTGGCACAAGGGACGAATGTCACAGTCCTTGATGTGCTATATTCAGATACTCCTGGATTAGATGGTCCTGTGTTGGCATATAGGCACGGCTTTCTTGCCTCCCTCTGGTACAAAAAAAATGTTTCCGGAGCGGTAAGAGTGAACATTGTGCAAGAGAGAGTCGATTCGAGTAACATCGCTGCAACGGTCGAGCAAGCCGCAGTGAATCATCCGGACCTTTTAGCGATGGTGGGGCCGGTGTCCTCTGTAATGCTGATGGCTGCCCTTCCTGTTCTTGAGCAACGCAGCGTGATGGCCTTTGCCCCACTGAGCGATTCTGTTGTTCCGCGTTTCTGGGAGAACCGCTTCTATTTTCTTGCGAGGGACACTAGAGTCACTGTATACGATCTGGTCGGCTACGCCGTAACGTACCTGCGCTTGTTGCGTGTGGGCTTTATGTACTTGACGGGTGTACTTTACGGCGATACCGAGTACCTTCTTGCACAGCAATTGATGGCTTCCATGGGCCGCAACATTACCAGTCTGTTTGCGCTGGATTTTGATGCCAATTACGTTTCGACCGATTCCGAATTCCAGGCGGAATGGGAACGGTTTGCGGAGACCCGGCCACAGGCGGTCATAATCTTTGGGGTCATGTCCGATACCACTGACTCCTTCATCAAAATGATGCTCACGGACAGTCGCACAAGCCGTGCGTACCTGATGGGTCCACCCATAATGCAGCAGGTGCTGCTGGGGGTGTGGCAAGGTGTCGTGGAAGAAGGTGGCGCTTCTTTTAGAGCCAGGCAGGTGTTCACGACGGGAACGAACCCGATGGCGAACGATATCAGCTACAAATGCATCAGTCGATTCCAGACTGAGATGTCAAACTACCTGGAGAACAGCGGGCAGAAGGATTACAACGACACTCAGCAGTACCTCCACGACGACACCGATGGCGAGTTTATGGTTGCTGGATGGATGGCTGGTGAGGTGCTACTGCAGGCGCTTGCCTTTTATGAGCCTTCCCAGGGCCGCGACGGGTTCATTGCGTCACTGTTCGCCCAGCGTCGCTACGTCATCGATGACTTCGTATTTGGCGACTTTGGTGGCACCATTGACGCAAAGGCTGCCGCGCAGGGAGCCATGTCGGAGTGCAATCAGGGTGGGAACCTTGTTTTTCTCAAAACCTTTGTTGAGGGGTATAGGGGCGTTATTGTGCCTGAGGGCCAGTACACAATAGCGCTCACCGCATGCTATCAACACTATATATTATACAGTTCTGTCCATGGCGTGACGCTCAACCGCTCGGACGGGAACGCGGGATCGTACGCACTGCAAGAAATGCTACGGGGAGTAATGGGAGCTATTGATCCTCGATTACAACGGCCCTACACGCTGAAAGTTGTGGCGACGACGAATGCCGAGGCATCCGATGCACTGAGAAACGAGGAGGAGTCATTCTCCACAGACGTCGTTTTGGGTGTTGTCTTTGATGCAATGCTCAGCATCCCGAATGTGTTGTTTTGGGACCCGATTTTTGCAACCTCCCAACTGAATTCATTCAGACGGAATGTCATTCTGCTCTCGCCGACGACGGAGCAGCAGATATTCGTGCTTGCGCAGTACCTCGCGAACACAAGTGACCCCGCTGCCCACGCTATCGTTCGCGGCAGGGTGGCTGCAGCCACCTTGGATGTGGTGCGGCGCTCCTTCCTAACATTCGGCGTCACTCTGCGCTCCGCCACGGCACTCAGGGAGGAAGACTCTCTCGAGGGCCGTCTGCCAACAAGCGGTCTCACGCTGGCCATCGACCTGGAGGTCCCAGACGTCACAGTCATGGCGTCCCATCTTGAAAAGAACAGGGGCGCCCGCCTGGCTATGCATTTCTCGCCGTTTGCTGTCTTCTACCCCCACTTACAGCAGGTCTTCGCCGGGAGGGAGATTGCGGATCGGCTGCTGATCACGACGAGTTTGCCGCACTGGGGTAACCCGCAGACGACGTCGACTCTTGTGTCGCAGTACCACGAGGCGTTCCCCAACAGCACGGACTGGTCACCTCTGCTGCTGAGCAATTTTGTCGCCACTAAAGTAGTTCAGACTGCGTCTCAGCGTATAGATATGGTAACTGGGACGGCTATAGCAGATTACTTTTACTCGAGGGTG